TTAAAATGGCTAGCTCCAGCACAAACTTTAATTGGTCTTAATAATAAAAAACCGATAGTCAGATATTAGGGGGTGAAACCTGAAAGATCAGAGCAACAGAACAGCCAACCACTAGTTCTTACCTGGTTGTTTCTTTGATACATTTGTTTGGAATATTTTTTCCATTCTTTTAATCTGAAGTGATAGCTATCCTTGATATTGAGGTATGTTTCTTGGGTGCAGCATAAGGGTGGATCCATTTTCAAATACAATCTGCGAGCCTGTATCATTTAATTGGGCAATTGAGGCTATGCATCAACACTGAGAGTTGTTGGACAGCACAGTGCTTTTGATTTCACTTATTTTATTGGGATGATGTTTCCCTGCCCCCTTTTGATGTGATGGTCTTGGATAATTCTTTTCTTGTGTTTTCTTTCTTTTTAAAATCTATTCTTCTCTCATTACATCCTGACCACAGTTTCTTCTTCCTCTACACCTCCTAATCACCCCTTCTCATAACACAAGAGCAGTCACATGGTTTCTCTTAGGCTATGAATGTCACACTGACTGGCCAGTGAGTAACGCTTGACCATGCCTTTGGCTCCTTCCCAGACAGGACTGAACCTTGAGTGGTAGGGAGTATGCCTACCACTCAGTCTCAGGTGCTAGACAAATAGTTGTGTCTTTAATGTTATCTGCAAGGCTTTTTTGAAAGTGAAAAGCTGGCACTGAAGTTGTTTCATACCTGACCTTGTGTCAGCAAAACACCTGGGAAGATGACCTCATGTATATGTCTCTGGGGGCAACCAGCCTGCTTTGAAATTGTTCTGAAGTCTAAAATTAGTTGTCTGTATAAAAACCAGTCTTTGCAACTGAGAATACTGTCAGTCTGAAGAATACAAAAATCCAAGTATTGTTTATATTCATCAGCTTAAATTATACAGCTTAAGCAGAAATCATCTTCCTGACTATGCACAGCCATATGTGTGCCCAGTAAGTGTAAAACACACCACCAAAGGGCCGTGGAAAGAACCCCACAGCTGTTCTTATTAGGGAGGTATAATAGTAGCACCTGAGAAAGTTACAGTCAGAAACAACCAGTCATTGACAGTCAATAACTCTATGGCTTTGCCAAATGGGGCTTCCCAATAGGGAATTATATGTCTTTTGGGTCTACTTGTTAAATATTAGTTAAACTAATATTTAACTGTCATATTTTCCCATGACCTCTTGTAACCAGCAGCTCTGGGCAGGCTGGCAGCTCTTCTCATCTCCTCCCACCTTCTTCTCAGTGTCCTCTCTTCCCTGAAAATCCTGTCTAACTATTGACCATTCAGCTTTTTATTAAACTAATCTTGTGATATTTTGGTAAGAAAGTGTCTGCTTTTTGCCCTTGTCCAGAGTCTGCTTGAGACTAAAGGGAAGACTTTTGAATTAATTCTATTGACAGAGAAAGCTTCAAAACACCCTAGTATCGGTTCTCTTGTGCAGCCATTATTGGTAACGCTAATGAAGATTTATAATAAAAAGGAATAAGCTGAGCAAATAAAAATATAAAATGTAGAACAATTTGAGGAGAAAAGGAGCCCCAGAAAGTTGAATGGAGCTAAGTCCTGTGTTCAAGGAGATAAGCAGATTAAGAAATGGAATAAAGGGAGTGGTGACCTCAGGCGAAGATCCCTCTCAGCTAAGTTTACAACTTGTGAAAAAGAATGAAAGAAAAACCTAGAGCCAGGTGTGGTGGTGGATGCCTTTAATCCCAGTATTGGGAAGGCAGAGGCTAGCAGATCTCTTAGTTTGAGGTCAGCCTGGTCTATAGATCAAGTTCCAGAATAGACAAGCTTAGGCAGTAAAGGAAACCAGGGAAAACAGAACGTTGGTGAAGATGGAATTGAACGAGGGGGCTGTATTCCGTCCCTAGCAATCAGCAGTACCTGGCAGCTTCAGCCACATGGTTCTGACTTTAAAGTTAAGGATAGAAGAAAGAAAGGGGCTATGGATTTTTCCTCTGCTATTAAGGGAAGCTGCTGAGGCCAGGGATGTGCCATCGGTGTCCCTAAATGGGGGCCCTAGAGAGGCCATTGTGTGAAACTATGAACTTGAAGCCTGGATTGCCTTGGAGACCCTAACATGTTGGAAATGCCAGAGCTGTGGTATACCTGCTGAGGAAAACTGCTAACAGGGAGTAGAGCCATCCCAAGAGAAAGAAGAGTGCTGTGGTCAACGAAGCTGAAAGGAGTTAGAGATCTGAAGGGCATTTTGCCATCAGACACGGAGCTGCAGAGTTTGGAGTTTGCCGAGCCTGTTTTGGTTATAGTTTGCTCCACTGTTTCCTCACTGTGCTCCCTTCCCTACATTTTGGAATGATAATATATATTCCATACAATTATATGCTGGAAGTCTGTGGTCTTCCTTTTGATTTTGATTTTACAGGGGATTACAGTTAAGAGACTAAATGAATCTCAGAAGAGACTTTGAACTTTAGACTTTTAAATAAGTTTGAGACTGCTACAGACTATGGGGACTTTTGAAGTTGGACTGAATGCATTTTGCTTTAGGATATAACTACAAGCCTTTGTAGGACAGGGTGTGGAATATGGTGGTTTGAAAGAAAATGGTCCCCAAAGGGAGTGGCACTATTAGGAGGTGTGGCCGTGTTGGATTATATGTGAGTGTGTTGGAGGAAGTGTGTCAATGTGGGGGGGACTTTGAGGTCTCACATATGTTCAAGCTACAGCCACTATCTCTGTCCTCTTCATGTTGCCTACATATCAACATGTAGCAACTCCTTCTCCAGCACCATAGCTACCTGCACGCCACCATGCTCTCTACCATGATGATAATGGACTGAACCTTTGAAACTGTAAGCCACCACCTCAATTAAATGTTTTCCTTTATAGGAGTTGCTGTGGTCATGGTGTCTCTTCACAGCAATAGAAATTCTAACTAAGATAGGAGAGAAGGGAGAAGGGGAGGATTGGGGGAATGGGATGGTTGAGATGGAGGAAGAGTGGATTTGGGAGCAGGGAATCTTAATTAAGGGAGCCATTTTAGGGTTGGCAAGAGACTTGGCTCTAGAGGGGTTCCCAGATGTCCAAGGAGATGTCCCCAGCTAGGTCCTTGGGCAGTAGAGGAGAGGGTGCCTGAACTGGCCTTCTCCCATAGCCACACTGATGAATATCTTGCATATCACCATAGAACCTTCATCTGGCAATGGATGGAGATAGAGGCAGAGACCCACATTGGAGCACTGGACTGAGCTCCCAAAGTCCAGATGAAGAGCAGAAGGAGGGAGAACATGAGCAAGGAAGTCAGGACCGTGAGGGGTGTGTCCACCCACGGAGATGGTGGGACTGATCTAATGGGAGCTCACCAAGGCCAGCTGGACTGGGACTGAATGAACATATGATCAAACCTGACTCTCTGAATGTGGCTGACAATGAGGGCAGACTGAGAAGCCAATGATAATGGCACTGGGTTTTGATTCTACTGCATGTACTGGCTTTTTGGGAGCCTAGTCTGTTTGGATGCTTATCTTCCTAAACCTGGATAGAGTGGGGGAGGGCCTTGGACTTCCCACAGGGCAGGGTACCCTGACTTCTCTTAGGACTGGAGAGGGAGGGGGAAGGGGAGTGGGGGGAGGGAAATGGGAGGAGGTGGAAATTTTTAATAAATAAATAAATTTAAAAAATGAAAATGAAAAAAAAAATTGTGCAATATCCTCAACCATAAGGGAAATGCAAATCAAAATGACTCTGAGATACTTATTACCTTACACTAGTCAGAATGGCTAAGATCAAAAACACCGATGATAGTTTGTGCTGGAGAGGATGAGAAGTAAGTTGAACACTCCACCAGTGTTGGTGGGAATGCAAACTTGTACAGCCACTTTGGAAATCATTATGGCAGTTTCTCAGAAAACTGGCAATCAACATATCTTAAGACCCAGCAATACCACTTTTAGCCTCACTGAGGAGCAGATAGGGGGTGGGATAAGGGGAAGCTGGGGGGAGGGGAAGAAAGGAGGGAGGTGGAAATGGGACTAATATGTAATAAAATAAGATGTATTAAATGAAAAAAGAAGAGAAAAAACAAACAGATGTTATTGCTATAATTTTTGGGTGGGGGTCAAGGAGTCAGGAACAACTTATCTTCCTGGAACGTGAGCCAGAGACAAATGGCTGTTAGATACCAAGATGGCTGCCCAGAAAGAAATGCAGTTTCTTTAGCCATCACACCACCAAGACAAGAATTCTCAAATAACGTATCTAAGAGATGTATGCATGTATGTGTGTTTGTGAACATGTGTGTACTGGATGTTTGGTCGGTTGTCAGTTGTTCTGCAGCTTACACAGCAGTCATGAGACCAGGAACAGATGGAAAGGTACAGAAGGTGAAGTGAAGCAAACAGTGCCAGAGAAACCAACCGGGGAAACAGGCGAAGAGGACAAGTGATGCACTGATGTCACTCTTTATTGTCACCATGGCTGAATTAAATAACCCAGGAAATCACTGAGGGACACTTCTGTCCACACAGGTGAGAGTGTTTCCAGGGAGGATTCATTGAAGTAGGGGATCCACTCTCCATGTGGCTAACACCATACCAAGGATTGGGGACTAGCAAGCTTGGACTAAAGGGAAAAGGAAAAAGCTAGTTGAGAACAGGTGCTCCTCGAATATGTGTTCTGGGCTGCCATTAGAGGAGGGAGCTCTTCACCACATATGTCCACTGCCAGGAGGCCCTGCCTCATGCTAGGCTAAAACAAAGACCCCGGTCTCCATGGACTGAGTCCTCTGAAATCATGAGACAGAGCAATGTTTTGAAAAAGTATTTTCCCCAGAAAACTGAAGAGTTAACTACTTCAACATAGCTGATTTGTATCACAAGGTCTGGAGTGGTTCAGCATTTAAGAAAAATAAGGAAGAAAGTTAATAAAGAATGTGTTCAATATGAAAAGGATAGAGCATCTTTTCAGCTGCTAAGTGGGCTTTCCTGAGAACAACCTCAGTCCAGGAAAAGAACCTGCACATCTCCACTTAATGTGAGAAAGAGGGCAGGAGCCTCCCCAGGGCCAGCTTGACATCCTTGTTCGTCAGTGTGTAGATGAGGGGGTTCAGGGTTGGGCTGAGGACCGAGTACAGCACTGAGGTCACTTTGCTTCTCTCTGGGCTGTAGCTGGAGGCAGGACTGATGTAGGCACAGAACACAGAGGAGTAGTACACACAGACCACGATGAGGTGGGAGGAGCAGGTAGAGAAGGCCTTCCTCTTGCCCTCAGCAGAACGCATGCGCAGGATGCTGGCGATGATGCAGCCATAGGAGAGCAAGGTGAGGAAGAAGTTGATGCCTCCATAAAAGGCATCTGCCATGAGAGTCATGATGCTATTCACATATGTGGGGGTACAGGAGAGAAGGAGGAGTGGAGGGATCTCACAAAAGAAGTGGGTGATGACGTTGGGGCCACAGAATGACAGCCGTGTCATCAGACCAGTGTTGATGGATGAATTCAGAGCACAGATGGACCACACACCCATGGCCAGGGCCCCACACAGCTGTGGGCTCATCCTAGAGCTGTAGTGCAGGGGATGGCAGATGGCCACATAGCGGTCATAGGCCATGACCGTGAGCAGCAGCAGCTCAGAGGATCCAGACCAGACAAGGAAGAAGAGCTGAGTCATACAACCATTAAAGGAGATGGTGTTTTTCTCAGACACAAGACCAAGCAATGCCTTGGGCATCACAGAGGACATGCAGATAATATCCATGGTGGCCAGGTTGCACAGGAAAAAGTACATGGGACTGTGGAGCCCAGTGCTGGAGGTGACCAAAACAATGATCAGAGTGTTTCCTATGAGAGCCATTGTGTAGAGGGTCAGGAAGCAGCCAGTCAGGAACAGTCTCAGACTAGGGTGCTCTGAGAACCCTTCCAGCACAAACTCAGTCACCATTGTCTCATTGGGACTAACCATCGTTGTGTGTCCGCCAGCTTCTGAGAACATATTACTGTTCAAATCTCCAAAGCCTGAGTTTGAAACTTGATCGTCTCAAGATTCTGTGTTGTCAGAAAAGGAGAGAGTGAGTGTACTTCCATCAGGAAAGCCTCTGTCTCTTGTGTCCTTACCAGACCATTTGGTGTTTCATTCACTTTGGTTTCCCACCTAGAATCTCTCACCCTGTATTCTTGGATCAAGGGGGACATCTGTACCTTCCTCATCCTCTCAAACACGTGGATGAGTGAAGCAGCCCTCACCCGGAACCTGCCTGTGCTTTGCTTCTCTATCCCCTGCGACACTGTGCTCTGTTGACGTTGACATTGCTGGGAGCATAGTTCCTCTTACCTCCACAGCAGGTATTTTCCACAAGGGAAACTCTTGGAAAAACCCACATTGAGATGACACCTGGCCTCCTGGCTTCTCAGTCACTTTCTTTTCTCTGGTATTTGTAGTGGTGTCTCTACTACCCATTAAAACCTGATAGTTATCATTACCCGTGGTTAAGTACATATGCATCATCTGGTTTAGCCCATTGTGACTTGTGATTTCTCCTGTGGATGACACTGCCTTGACTAACACACTACAAACATATTGTTGTGGGAACTCCTTCAGCCAATGGCCTTTGGGATGCTAGCCCACTTTGGGCATGGTCTCCTGTACTATACATGAAGATGTAGGGACTTTCATAAGCCCCTTGTATTTTGAATTTGACTTCAGTTCTCCCTGCATGCAGAAGACTGAGGATCTCTACTCTCTTTGTGAGTTTGTCCCCAAATAAATAAACCTTTGTTATACTCCATTTGGGCTAGTGTGGCACTAATTTTTATTTCAATGGTTGTCACCTAATGTGGCCAGAGTCCACATCATTACCAGGACCTGCACATTTGTTTAAAGATTTTTTTAATATTTTAATATAAAGTCTCTTTTAAGTTATATAGATATTAAGAATTATAGGTCATTAGCCATCCATGTTTGTCATACTTATATTTAGCCTAATCAGGTTCTTTAGATGCATAGAGATTGTATTCTGCATAGATAGGCAATATTCAACCACTTCAAAGAACTGAAGAATATCACATTTAAATAACTTAGGCAGCACTGATCTTTTCCCAAGAGAATGTTGGGCACTGAAGACACTCACTTGGAGTTTTCTTTCTTCTTGGCACTAACCTTTGGTCAAAACTGCCCCTGCCTCCACCCCTGACAAAATACAAGGTGTCTAGACTGGACAAGCTGAATACAACTGAAAAGGCTGCCAAACCTTGCCAAGACAGAATAAGACAATTTTTAAATTTTTTCCTGCCTCTGAAAATGGTCTGTCAGTTATTCTAGGCCTCAGCCAAACTTGGTTGCCCCAACATTGCAAATGAGACATTGGGTGATAGCCCAGGTACACCCAGTTGTCTCTGTCACTTCTTGCTTAATTGCACTTCATGTTTACTCAAGAAATATTATTTCCCTTCTCAGGTCTTGATGAGGTTAAAGACTAGATAGTTATAGTTACTTTCCTCTCATGACTTAGTCAAACCGTTTCTAATATAAGACTTAGACTACTTAAGATAGGATAACTATGGAGACATTTTATATATGTTTCTGCTTGATGTTGTTCATGCTGGTTGTAGTTCTAATTCTTATACTTGATATTTATTCTCATTGTATATAGTTTTGTATTAGGATTGGAACCCTCCTATTTAGACAAAAGGGGGAGGTGCTGTGGGAACTCCTTCAGCCAATGGCCTTTGGGATCCTAGCCCACTTTGGGTGTGGTCCCCTGTACTATAAATGGAGACATAGGGACATGCATGATCCCCTTATCTGCTGGATTTGGTTCCAGTTTTCTGTACACCCAGAGAACTGTGGATCTCTACTCTCTGTGAGTTTGCTCCAAATAAATAAACCTCTTTTTTATACTCCACTCTAGGCTAGTGTGGAACTACTTTTTTTAATCACAAAAATCTATCACCCCAGAGAGAATTTCTCAAAAATCTCTGCCTAAAACTGGAAAGTACGTCTGTGCCTTTCTGTCTCAGCTATCCACAGTAACATCAAAGTCAGCAGACCCATCACTGAAATCGTTGCCATAGTCTACAGATGTTCTTGTGTGCTTTCAATGGCCATGCATATAAAATTATTACCACCGACCCAGGGCTTTAAGGCTTTAAGAAGCTTATTTTATAGAGCACAGCTCCATCTCTCTGACTCATGGTTTGGCTTTAGCTAATGATAGATCCTCAGTAGATTCATGTTCCATGGGCCAAGAATGTGTTCTGCATCCTCTTGCTTCCCTCATCCATCTGGTCTTCAAATTCTGCAACTGTAGCTTTCCCAATATTGTACCTTATCTTCTCAATATCGTCACCTCTTTCATATTTTTGAATTCTTTCCATTTACAACATTAATTTTTCTCCTCCATCACCCAAGGTCTGTGCACCTTATGATAGACATCTTCCCCTAGGTTCAATTTATTATGCCTCTCCTCGGTCTTTCAGCAAAATATACTCTCTAGCTTGACATAGAAGATCCAGCTGATACTACCCATTTGTTCTTTCTATAGAATATTTCATGAGTTCATATGTAAACACACTATACCCATATTCATAAACAACTTTGTGGAAATGATTTGCAGTGAAACTTACCTGGAAATATTCTTTGCTTTGCATGTCTCTTTCAGTGGCCAAGATAAAATGAAATTTTCCCTTCATTTCTGAGCACATCCATGACATATAGCCTGTGAAGTATGTTCATTTACTGAATCCTGTGTCACTCCCCCCTCCCCACTTTGCCCCACACCAGTCTTAAAACTCTTCATTTTCTTCGATCACACTTTTTCTCCTATATCATTTCTATATTATGGCTTGCAACCCATTTTGTCCCCATCTTAATGGTAAATGTTTTATTTACAATTCAACATTTTATTACTGCCTCCATTTGAAATGAGAGATACTCAGATATCACATTCACCCTTTGCAACCACATGGACAGTGTTATGTCTGACCGTTTCTCCCTGCATTGATTCAATTGCATAAAGAACACCACTGCATAGTTTGATATTTCCAGTTATTCATGGAAAACAAATGACAGAAACAAATTCCTCATATGTTCTTGGCACTTTCTGGATCTATCTGGCTAATTCAAGTACACCTGAACTTGTAATACTCTCCTGATAGTTCTGATAATCTGGGAGTGATGTTACCCTAGCACCAGGGGGATGTTCATTAAGTTGGCCCTGATGTAGAGAGAAAGATTTAAAAATAATTGAAACCCATAAAAATATTTACTATCTGACCAAGGCATCCTTCCAAAGAGAATGGTTTCCAAAAAGTCAGAACAAGCAATAGAGATAAATCCTGGTCTCACAGTTAATGGCCGCATAATCTGCCCAGTCAGAAGCCTTACGCTCTCTAAGGAGTGGATGGGGGTGGTATGGGGAAAAGGTGGACAAAGCAGGAGGAGCAGAGGGAATGGGAACTGAATTTAGCATGTAAAGCAAGAAAAGATAGCTTTTAAAAAATAAATTAGAAAACAAAATAAAGAAAATATTTACTGTCTGATAGAATTCTCCTGTAACCAACAGTACAGCTATAAAAATCTAATTACATGGAAAACAACTAATAGATTCCTAAATGACATTCCTAAAAGGCAGTGTCAGAAAAATGTAATAAGTTGGGTGATTTGTGGACCCAGAAATGTGTCCATAGACCTATGGCCACATGATTTTTTACCAAAGGAAAAAAAAAAGAAAACAAAAACAACAACCCCACAATAGATAAATGTTGTCATCTTCAACTAATGGTGATGGCCAAACTGGACAATTACACAGAGAAAAATGATAATAGATCCTTATCCACCATCTTTACAAAATTAGACTTCAAGTGGATCAAGACCTCAGCATAAGACCCAACAACCTTAAAACTAAAAGTTGACAAAAGAAGAAAATAGGGAATATGTTTGAATTCATCACTACAGGAAAGGACTTCCTGAACAGGACCATGGCAGTATTGAATTTGAGACCAATCATTGACAAACAGGCCCATTTGTAACTGTAATGTTTCGGTATAACAAAGAATACCACTATTTGAAGAGGCAACCTACAAAATTGTAAAAACAAACAAACAAACAAAAAAAAACAGAAAAAAAAAACAAAAAATAACAACAACAACAAAAACTCTGTCATCTGATAGAGGGTTATAGCTAGAACATAAAAATAATTAAAACTGTTAAGCAACAAGAAAACAACCTAACTCAAGCTGGGGAATGAAACTAAATAGAGAATTTTCAACAGAAACACAAATAGTTGAAAAATATTTTTTTAAATGTTCAATTTACTTAGTCATCAGAGAGGGCAAATTAAAACCCCTTTTAGATCAACTCTTACTCCAATCCGAATGACTAAGAAAAACTGATAGACAATGCTGGGAAAGACATGGGAAAGAGGAATACTTTTTTTTTTTTTCCAAGATAGGGTTTCACTGAAGCTTTGGAGCCTGGCCTGGAACCAGCTCTTGTAGACCAGGTTGGCCTCGAACTCACAGAGATTCGCTGAGATTCAAGGCATGTGCCGCCACCACCTGGCTAGGGAAAGGGGAGTACTTATTTACTGCCAGTGGGAGTGAAAACTGGGACGATTACTATGGAAATCAGTAAGGAGGGTCTATATATAGTACAAGCTTCAGGCAGAAACCTGAAAGGTCATTGCAGATCTATTCACAATAGCTAGGACATGGAAACAGTATAAATGTCCACTATAGGAATAATAAATGATGAACCTATGGAATTGACAAAATGTAACATTACTCAGCTGTTAGAAAAGTGAAATTATGGCATTTGCAGGAAAATAGGTGGACCTAGAAGCAATCATCCTGATTGAAGTAACTCAGACCTAGAAATGTCCTATTCTCTCTCTCTCTCTCTCTCTCTCTCTCTCTCTCTCTCTCTCTCGCCTTTTATCTTTTAAGCTTCAGCTGTGTGTGCTTCCTTTGGACTACTCATAGAGGATAGCATCTAGTAAGGTACCATGGGGAGGTAGAAGAAGAAATGACACAAAGTTTTAAGTATGAAAAAGAGGTCATTCAATAAAAATGAAAAGTAAGGTGGAATATGGGATAAAGAGCAGAAGAAGGATTATGCAGAGCATATGTAACACTAAGACCTTTAAAAACATACTACAGTATGAAACCTGTTACAGTAGAAGCTTCCTAAAATATATACAGGCATTAAAAATTATTGGGGGACAATATCTCAATTAGACACCACATGCTGCCAAATGAAAGTACTGTAGCAGGAATGAGTTAACTCTAAGAGATGCTGATCACTAGGTCCCACTGACTCTCAGACATTACAAGGTATTTCTATTATTCCTGGTTATCTTCCAGAATGTGATGGTAAAATCCTACTGCTGGAGATGCCATTTTAACTTGAATCATAAACATGGAGAAATCAAGTGGGTACTGGTCTTTAAGCATCATCCCTATGCTAGCTTCCATAGTAATTGAAGATTCTATACACGTTACTTGAGAAGAAAAACATCATCCTCAGTCTCACCCAGCTCTGGACCCTATGGGCTACAATAACAACATGCTTGACAAGATATGCTCACTGGTGTAAGAGTGGTGCAAATGTTATGGGTAACTAACCACCTTCTGACTGAATTTATGGCCCACTTGGAACTGCTGACAAGGTCAAGGAACCGTGGCAAGATAGATCATTGGCCTTTGTATTCATCGGGTAAGAGGGATGAAGAAGAGGCAATATATATGCACAGAGGAATGTTATCCAACCATACAAACATGATGCCTTTTACAAATAAGTGGATGGGAATGGAGAACATTGTCAAGAAAAATAAACCAGACACAGAAAGACAGATACCACCTTTATCTCTCGCAAGTGGAAACTAGAAAACTCTGTCTTAGCAGAATAAATGATTGACAGATGTGATAAATGGTAAAGGTGAGGAAGTGCTAAGGGAGACAGGACAATGGGAACCAAGCTCATTTAGACAGAAACATTGGTTCCATGACTCTGCATCATGGAGTGACTATATGCCGCAGTCATCCCTTACGTGTTTACAAATAACAAGAAGGGAGGAGCTCAAAGCTTGAGAAGACAGAAAAGACAAAGTCACAGAAATATAAACATTTACTGAGAATATGTGTACACATATTGACATATCAACCTATATCCCAACAACATATGCAGTGACCGTCTATTACAAATAACAGTATTGATTGACAGAATTCATGATAGCTTTTGTTATTCATGATATCCATTCAGAAAAATATATTAGAAAAGTCTTATATCAACATAAAACAGTATGGATGGAGTCTAAAGTTTAAGACGAGCACAATAACTGTTCACAGTGAAGTTATGTGGGTTCATGGCAGGGAAATGCACTCCTAACCTGATCTGTAACAGAAGATGCACACCTGTGTTACTTCCTAATTATTGTGACCTGAACAAGAAGGTATAGAGGACTTTTGGGATCATAAAAATGCCCTGTGTCTTCATAGAACATGATTCCTCAGTACAGGGACAAGGAGCAGGTTCAAGACCTGGGTATTGACAGTGTGTTGACAGCCTGTAAGAGTCTTAGTGTTGTGGTGAATAAAATGTACCTCTCCTAGGAGACACAGACACCATTAGGGCTCTATTTTTTCACCCTGAAGTTCCTAGACCGGTAACAACTAGTGATACCAGACAGGTGCCCAATGCTGGGATTACCAAGTCTATATTGAAGCTGGCTAGCAAATTGGAGGGAGCTTTGTTCTTCAAGAACCAACAGTGGGAAGGAGATTAGAAGTTTATCGCCATGACTATGAATCTGTGATGGGCAAAGACTGGGTTAGGCACAGCACTTTCACAGTCTCAGTTCCTTGCAGAGTATGTGTCTTCTTCATAGGAAAAGTGGTATGGAGTAGACAGAGGAACCCCAGTGCTTGTATTATCAGAGAAGACAGACTACAGAGAGAAGAGGTCGGTGGGAACTCACTTTGGGGTACAAAGACTGCTATTTTACCGGTATTGGCCACCTGAAGACCTGTCTTACTTTTATACCCCACAAACTAATGGACAGGTTTTTCTTTTTTCTTCTTCCTTCCATTCTATCTTTCTTTTTTTAAAAATATTTATTTATTTATTATGTATACAATATTCTGTGTGCATGCCCGAAGACCAGAAGAGGGCGCCAGACCTCTTTACAGATGGCTGTGAGCCACCATGTGGTTGCTGGGAATTGAACTCAGGACCTTTGGAAGAGCAGGCAACGCTCTTAACCACTGAGCCATCTCTCCAGCCCCATTCTATCTTTCTTTTGTGTAATATTTTGCATGCATGATGGGAAGTAGAATTCTACTTCTGGAGAACTATAAATAAATAATTATTCTTTTCATAATTCTATGTTTAGCAAACAATATTTTGATGCCTATCATTCGTATTGGCCTAACAGACAATATTATCTTACTCAGATGTGATATTATTATACAGAGGGAAAATAATCAATAATTTTCCCAACTGGTCAGCCATTGTTATACAGAGGGAAAATTAATCAATAATTTTCCCAACTGGTCAGCCATACACACTGTGAACCAGAGAGTGTGGTTGAATACACCCATGCCCTTTTCTCATAATTCTATCTTGATGGTTGTACATTTAATTTTGATTGCTAGAATTCCCTTTTGTGCCTAAGTAGATGTGGGAGAATCTAGTATACAGGTGGGGAGTTTGTGGCAGAGCAATTTCACAACAAATACTCATGACTACATGTAAGCCAGATCTCAGCAAGGCTGAATGAAAAACCATCAGAAGCTGAACCTCGACCAGGAGCAATGCAGCTGGGGATACTTACCACAATCACAAACTGGCGAGTCTGCAGATCCCATGATAGTTCCTGAAAAATCAGTAGAGGAAATCTTTACACTTGCAGCCCTTTTATACAAATCCCTCCCCCTCTTTATTCAGCTATTTTTCTAGGTACTTCTGTTTAGATGAATATAATTGTTTCTTTAAATTACTCCCAGTCATGGAAGACCTTATCTGTTGCAGACTGTATGGCTACCACCAGAAGGCTGGGCTGTGTTTTCAACTCCATGGAAGGTGAGGATCATTTTTTGAACATCAGCATTAAACTCTGGACAATAGGGTAAGAGAATCTCTTTGTGGCATTTTCTCACCATCCTCTCTGGATGATATGACCAAACAAGACACCACTCAACTCCTATGTAGTTATGCATATAGATAGACAAACAGACAGACAGACAGACAGACAGACAGACAGACAAACAGATAGGTAGATAGATAGATAGATATAGATATATAATATATTCATCTAAACCTGTTGATTTTATTTCAACATTAATTTGAATACTGTGTATGACGAATAAAGAAGTCAGATTTTGAACATAAGGAACAAATAACAGACATGAACAAACTCTTTCATGATTGGAATCTAGACATTCTGCTGTTTGTACAATGGAGCATGAAACCACATCTTTCTGTCATAGTCTTTTCTCTGACCCAGAACTCTTTTTCAATCTCAGGACTCACTGAGAACATAAGTTGTTGACACTCTGTGCTAATACCCAAACACTGGAATAAATGTCACTTCCATAGTGAGACTTTTGTTTTGGATTCCACTGTGAGCTGCAAGAGCCACACAGTGGAAATTAAACTCCCACTTACCTTTATCTGTCATAGTGAACTCAGGTGACAGATGGCTCCCACAAAGGTGCCCACGGCTGAGCACAGACTCTCCTTTCCTACAAGCGCCAAGTCTTTAGTGTCCCTCTGAAGCTCCTGTCCTTCATAAATACTGGTGATTTTCTGAGACCAGGGACAAGTGTTTGTCCTAGGGACTCCTGGGATAGAAACTGCAGGAGAAAGCTCTTAGGATTAATTAAAGGGGACTGTGGCTTCATGACCCAAGCTCCCTGCAGAATGATGTGGAGAAGGATGGTCAAGGGAGTGTCATAATATTGGTAGTAGCAGTTTCCCCTTTATACCTCCCTCCACCAACACTCTGCATGCTTCTCCCAAAATCTTGTTGGTATTCTTATGACTTGTTCGCAAGGTCTCACATTGATATAAATGAACTCTTCTGTATTCTGCTGAGAGTACTTCATTTGACTTTTACACTCACGCAATAGGTTTATTCTAAGTATGTTCTATGTCTGTGCCTACCTTTCCTCTTCCTACATTCAAGCCTTCCAATGTTATTGTTATGACGCCAGCATTTCCATTGTTTGCTACATTTATAAGCATTTAAAATATAAATTAGTCTTGAGACTATATATATATGTATATATGGCACTATACAGTCATAACAGTTTTATTTAGTAATATACATTAATATACATATACATATATGCAATCAATAACAAATAGTAAATAAAAAACTACCATGATTTGGAGGGGAGCCTGGGAGAAATATATGGGAAAGTTTTGAGAGAAAAAGGAACAGAATAAAAATTAAAATCAAATTATAATCTCAACAAATTTTAAAGATAAAAATTTATTCAAAATTTTGCCTGGCGGTGGTGGCACACGCCTTTTATCCCAGCACTCAGGAGGCAGAGGCAGGCAGATCTCTGTGAGTTCGAGGCCAGCCTGGTCTACAAGAGCTAGTTCCAGGACAGGCTTGAAAGCTACAGGGAAACCCTGTCTCGAAACCTAAAAAAAAAAAAATTATTCAAAATTTTATGTCTTCAGATTCTTCATAAAAAATCCATAAATAAAATCAATTTAATTACAATTTTAATTGAATAATAATTTCTCACACAATAAATTTTGATTGTGATTACCCCCAACTCCGAGATTCTTCCTACCCACCCAATTCCATGCCTTTTCATCTTCTCTGTCTTTAGAAAACAACCGACAAAAATGAGCAAACACAATAAACAAATACACACAATCAAAATCCACGAAAACTGAAAGTCAGAAATTGTAATATACAAGTAAAAGTAGAGAAAGAGAAAAAGCAGCCAAACAAACAAAAAAATCCTGTTCAGATAGTTTTTGTTTTCCATTACTGCTGGTCATGAGGCCCACACATAAGCAGGGTTTGTATACCCAGTGATGCTCTATTGGTGAGAATGAATTATCACTGAGTATTCCAAGGTATCTTTCTATTTGCACATTGTAAGGCTGTGGACTTCTGCCTTTGCTCCCATGTATTACAGGGGAAGACCTCTGATGATGGTTGAGTGAGACACTGATCTATGAGTATGGCAGATGGTTTTTTTTTTTTTTGGCAGATTTTTTTAGGAGTCTTTTTGTTGCTACTTACCTTTATCAGAACTACAGCGCTTGGTGTTCCCCTTGTTTCATGCCCTATATAGTCTCATGTTTCTGGCCATTGGAACAGTGTCAGGCATGGGTTCTACGCACAGCGAAGACCTTACATCCAGTTAAGTAGTGGTTGATTACTCCCAAAACTTTTATACCTCTGTTACAACAGTTTATCATGCAAAGAGTTCACCACTATAGTTTGAAGTGTTCATAGCTGGGTGGTATTCACCTTCCTGTTGCTGCTTTCATATTTTTAACACCTGAAAATATTTTATTGTATAAATCTACCCCTAATTTTATTAATTAACCTATTGACAGACATCTAGGGTGTTTTCAATCTCTGGGATTTATGAGTAGAACAGCAATTAACACTGATTATAATTATAGTTTTCCTTAGTTATGATAAAAATAAAGAAGATATAAATATTGTAACTATAATTCTTGCTTGATATCTTTTTTGTTATATGTAATTTTACTATGTTATAGTTAAAACCTTCCTTTTTATTTAAAGAGAAAAGAGGAGACGATGTGGGAAATCCTTCTGTATATGTGATGCTTTTATTGGTTAATGAATAAAGAAACTGATTTGAGCCTATAGCAGGGCAGAACAGAGCTAGAAGGGCAGGGAGGGGGGTAAACTAAACTGAATGCTTGAAGAAAGAGGGTGGAGTCAGGGAGTTGCCAGAGGGGAAATATGGGAGCTGCTACCTGGAACCTTGCTGCTAGGACTCAAGCCTCATGGTAAAATATAAAATAATGGAAATGGGTTGGTTAATTCTAGATGTAACAGCTAGCTAGTAATATGCTTAAGTGATTGACAATCGTGATTAAATTGATATAGTTTCTGTGTGGTTATTTTGGGTGTGGGGAGCTGGGAACAAATAAATGGCCTCCTTGCTATGGTCTCAGATGTTGATGTGCAGGGATGGCAACTCTCCTCTGCCCATGAGTCACAAAGCAGATGAGGATTGGGGACAGCTGCCCCATGACTCACCCATATCTCCACTAACAGGGTTGGCTCTGTTGTACTGCTCTGGTGGGGTTCAGAGCCTGCTTTCCCAAGTGTTGCAGCTTGTGGGAATCAGGGATGGCTCTCCCACTCTTATCACCAAAGGATCATCTCTCCCATCTGCCCCAGGCGTTGACAGTTGGAAGGGATGACAATTTTCCTCTGCCGGTACTGCCACAAGGAAGATGAGAAGCTGGGACTGCTCTACCATGCTCATACCTTGGGGCTGGCTCACCCACATCTTTGCTAATAGAGCTGGCTCTATTTTTCCACTCTGGTGAGGTACAGGACCTGCTCTCCTGAATGTTGCAGCTGGTGGGAATAGGGACAGCTCTTCTACTCTTAGGACCACATGACTAGCTCTTCTACCTGCCTCTGATGTTGATGAGTGCGGTGGGAATGGGGAAGGGCAGTTCTCTCCCCCTCCATGCTGCCACAGGACAGATGGGTAATGGGGACAAATCTCCCATGGTCATAATTTCAGGGATGTCTCACCGATACCTATGCTAAAATGTTGACTCTATGGTGTTGCCCGGTGAGGTGCAGGGCCTGCTCTCCCAGTTGCAGCTGGTGGGGTCAGGGATGGCTCTTCCACTATTATGACCATAGGGCCAGCTTTCACCCATGCCTCAGGCATTGATGGGCAGGAGAAGAGGACATCATTCCCTCTTCCATGCCACCACAAGACAGATAAGAAGTAAGGACAGCTCTCCCATGGTTACACCTTTGGGACTGGTTACCCCACACCTCTACTAACAGGGTCTGCTCTATTGTGCTGCCCTGGCAAGGTGCAGGGCCCTCCTGTACCCCATTTTTAACTGGGTATTTTTTGATATTCAGTTTTTTGAGTTCATTATGTATTTTAGTTATTAGCCCTCTAACAGAGGTGTAGTTGATAAAAAAATCTTTGCTGATTCTGTATCCTGCCAATTTGTCTGAATGATGATGTCCTTTGTTATACAGAAGCTTTTTTAGCTTTATAAGGTCCCATAGTTGATCTTAGTGCCTGTGCTATTGGTGTCCTATTCAGAAAAATTTTCACTTTGTTAACGAGTTCAAGAAAATTCACCATTTTCTCTTCTATCAGATTCAGGGATTCTGACCTGATGTTGAGGTCCTTGAACCATTTGGAATTGAGTTTTGTCCAGGGTGATGAGGATAGATTTTTTCATGACTCTTCTACATGTAGCCATTCAGTTTTATCAGCATAATTTTATAAAGATGCTGTCTATTTTTCAGTGTGTGTTTATAGCCTCTTTATAAAGTATCAGGTGTCCATAGCTGTGTGGACTGATGTTTGTGCCTTCAACTTAATTCTATTGATCAACACATCTGTTTTTATGTCAAAACAATGTTGGTTTTATTTCTGTAGCTCTGTAGTACAGCTTCAAATCAGGGATGATGATTTCTCCAGCAGTTCTTTTGTTACTCAGGATTGTTTTAGCCATCCTTATATTATTGTTTCCATACGAAGCTGAAACCTGTCCTTTCACTTTCTGTGAAGAATGATGTTGTAATTTTGATGAGAATTGCACTGAACCTGCTGATTGCTTTTGGTTGGATGCCCAGTTTCACTGTACTGATTGTACTGACCCACCAGCATGGGAGATAATTTTATCTTCGTATAGCTTATTCGGTGTCTTAAAATTTCCTCATGAAACTTTTTCACTTGCTTGGTTAGTGTACCCCTAGACAATTTTAATGTCATTGTGAAAGGCATTGCTTCCATGATTACTTTCTCAATTATATATGATTACTTTCCCTTATGTATGAAAGAAGGCTACTGATCTTGTGTTTTGTATCCTTCTGCTTTGCTGAAAATGTTTATCAGTTGTAGGGATTTGATA